CTCCCGCGCGGGGGGCAGGCAAGAGCGCGGGGGGCCAGGGCCCGAAGGCAGCCCCCCCGCGGGCAAGATAGCAAGCCAGCAGGGGCTGTCCCCGCGTCAGCCCCCGTTGCCGTGAGCCTGCCCCCTAGACGAATTTTCCTGCCTGGCCTGGCCAGCCCAGCGTCCAGCCCGTGTTCGTCAACAAATCTGCGCTGCCGATTTTCCGCGACGGGCCTGCAGCGGCACAAATCCGCGCTGCCGATTTTCCCACTGTCGGCATCGCTGCCGATTTTTCCCACTGTCGGCATCGCTGCCGATTTTCCGCGACGGGCCTGCAGGTTCACAAATCCGCGCTGCCGATTTTCCCCGACGGGCTTTTTAACTGCACAAATCCGCGCTGCCGATTTTTCCCACTGTCGGCATCGCTGCCGATTTTCCGCGACGGGCCTGCAGGTTCACAAATCCGCGCTGCCGATTTTCCGCGACGGGCCTGCAGCGGCACAAATCCGCGCTGCCGATTTTTCCCACTGTCGGCATCGCTGCCGCTGCCGCTGCCCCTGCCCCAGCGTGTACCTAGTAGCCTCTCCCGCGCGGGGGGCAGGCAAGAGCGCGGGGGGCCAGGGCCCGAAGGCAGCCCCCCCGCGGGTAAGATAGCAAGCCAGCAGGGGCTGTCCCCGCGTCAGCCCCCGTTGCGCAGCGCAGCATGGCTGCCTGGGAATCATTGCCGCGCGCGCGCGCGCCCAATCGCCCAAGAGCCCAAGGGCCCCCAAGGGCCCCAGGCCCTCAGGCCCCAGGCCCCCAGGCCCCAGCGCCCCAGCGCCAAGCGCGGGCGCGGGCGGGCGCGCGCGCGCGTGTGTGATTTTTATAGGGACGGTGGCCGGAATCGGGTCGTCGCCGGCCGGAAAACGGGTCATCGATGGCGGCGTTACTTCGGGCCGTGAGGCCCCCACGTTAGTCCGAGCGTAGCAGCAGCTCGCAAATCCCCCGCGCCCCATGGCCAGTCGGGGGGCACCCCCCTAAAGAGCTATAAGTGTTATTGCAGCTCTGGCAGGGGTAGACACTACTAGGTCCCAGCTGTCACCCCCCCTCTAAAAAATTCATTTCTTGGTATTTTGAGCTGAAATTTTGCACATAGGTTGGCAAAAATCCAGTCCACCTCCAGAAATAATCCCGGAATTTTTCGGGGTGGGGAAGTATTTTTTTTTATTTTCCTACCATTAAAAATCAAGGAAATACGCAAAAATAGGAACCGGCCCGGAATGACCCCAAATTCGGCTGGCAGCCTCACAAAAATATGGCTGATTTTACTGGATTGATTTCATGTGGAAAGCACGACGTTTTATTGGCGGAATGCGGGAAAACCAGCAGCCCGCATGCCGCGGCCACCGGAGGAGCCCCGGGAAAACTCTTGCTTTCACGGTCTTCGCCTCCCCTCACCACCATGGCAGGCCTCTAATCCCCCCATCAGCAGTTGTAGCCGATAGGGCAGTGATTTGAACGCCGCCGCCGGGTAATCGCACCCGGCCATCCCGGGGAGGAAGAGATCTCTTCTTCCAAGATAGCGAACAACACATCGGGAGTTATGTTGATAGGGCAGAGAATTGAATGACTCGTTGCGGGCAGCCGGGTCATCTCACCCCGTCCATCCCGAGCGGCGTTTTTCCCGGCAGCCTCGGGGAAACTCTTGCTTTCACTGTCCGCTGCCCCCAGTCCCCACTCGCATCAGCCCACCGCACCAATAAGCCAACGCTGCGGACGAATCTGGCGACACAGTCCCACGGGCTGCCACTGCCCCAGTGTCTAGACCAACAGTCTTTTTCGTCAAGCCTTGGACTATGCAGTCCGTCCATCCAGACTCATCGTCACCACCTGCTGCCGACTTCGCCGATTTCGTCGGCGCTGCCGATTCCAGCACTGCCCGCTGTGTCTGAACAGCCCCTGCTTCGTCAGCGCATCCCCTTCTGCCTGGCCTGGACAGCCCAGCGTCCAGCCCATGTTCGTCAAAAAATCTGCGCTGCCGATTTTTCCCACTGTTGGCATCGCTGCCGATTTTTCCCACTGTTGGCATCGCTGCCACTGCCCCAGCGTGAGCCTAGGCCCCCAGTCGTTTTCGTCAAGCCTAGGACTATAAATCGTCCGGACTCATCGTCAGCACCGGCCGCCGATTCTGCCGACTTCGCCGATTTCGTCGGCGCTGCCGATTCCAGCACTGCCCGCTGTGTCTGAACAGCCCCTGCTTCGTCAGCGCATCCCCTTCTGCCTGGCCTGGACAGCCCAGCGTCCAGCCCATGTTCGTCAAAAAATCTGCGCTGCCGATTTTTCCCACTGTTGGCATCGCTGCCGATTTTTCCCACTGTTGGCATCGCTGCCACTGCCCCAGCGTGAGCCTAGGCCCCCAGTCGTTTTCGTCAAGCCTAGGACTATAAATCGTCCGGACTCATCGTCAGCACCGGCCGCCGATTCTGCCGACTTCGCCGATTTCGTCGGCGCTGCCGATTCCAGCACTGCCCGCTGTGTCTGA